AGATGATTTCAGAGAAAACCAGTGGCACCATTGTGTTCCTCGCGAACTTTTATACAAGAATCAACAGTCAAATTGCAAATTCCTCGCACATGTAACATCTCCATTGGGCCAAAATGCACCGATATCAATACCTCATATGTTACTTGGTTCCTCGAAAATTCTCCTCTTGGACTTAGCCTAAAAGTGTGGACACTTTTTAGCCTCCGGCGAAACCTAGAGTCTATACGGCTTCGCCGCACGACTAAAAATGAGACAAAGCAACTAAAGGATTGTAATAAACTTGTAAATAAAATGATGAAAACATCCCTCAACTTAAGGGAAAACATGAATCCCTCTAACCATCTAGATATGGTACAAGGTCAGAGAGAACTGCTGATAAGTCCCACTTTTTTTTCCATCTAAAATGAGAGGTCATTTTCTGAAATCCTTCAATATATAACAAGAAAGTGACTAATTTGTGTCAAGCCACTGCCCACTATTTCGAAAAGTTTCACCAAAATTCCTCAATTTTGACAAAAAAAAGTGACATTAATCGAACGGAATTTTGCAATAAAGGACTGGCTGTTTTTGGGCATATCCTAGCTGAATTTCCTCAACTCTACGTTTTTATGCTCATCAAAGATTCATATTTTGCGGAATGCATCAGGATTTGGTCATTTCCAGTCTCTTTTTCGGTCTAACTGATCTAAACATGGGTGTGAGGGCCGGTTTGGCAAAAAATTCTGATTTTCGGTATTCGAACATTAATAAGCATTTTCCGCCAAAATCGGCCTTCAGCCACATGTTCAGGTCAGTATTAGATCCAAAAGAGACCGAAAATTACCAAATCGTCATGCATTTCACAAAATATAGACCTTCAATGGGCAAAAAATTGTTGAGTTGAAGAAATTCAGGGTGGGCAAAAACAACCCTCATTGACACCCCTTCTTTCCAGGTGTAACAAGACCAATAATGATAAGTGTCTACGGAATATCGAACATCAGCAGTGCCTAACATGGGAGCAAAAAAGGATCAAGGAAAAAGTTTGTAGCCAGAAAGTGAACAACGTGTCCAACGGTGCCTTTAGATTTATAAGCCAACTATTTATTTGACTAAAGTACTATATTAACTTACATGAGAATTTAAATCATTTTGGTCGATGGAAAAAGACAGGATGTCAGTGTCACTTAGGATCACCGATTCTGCCAGACTGGTTTTATCATTTCCTCCTACCCCGCCTGAAAAATAAGGAAATTGACAAGATGAAAAGTGGATGGTGCAGTTCTCATTTTACATCACTCTCTCAAATTTTAGTTCAAATCTACATATAGTGTCCCAAAATGATAGAAACTGGTGTTATATATTGAAATCTAAGCTATCTTTTGAACCGATCTTGGTCCTATTTGGACGTATTTCTGCCAAACGGAACTATGTGCATTATAACATGAGCTCTGTTACGCATGTATTCTAATGGGTCTCAGGGCTCATGTCTTAATGCACATAGTTCTGTTAGACAGAAGTACGTCCCTTTAAAAAGAAATTATTAAAAAATAAATTAAAAAAAGAGGATATCGACTGAGACTAAAATTGGCTAACTTGATCAAAAAATGGCCAAGTTATAGCAGCTGAAATCAGGACATAAGGCAACCAACCGCCTACTGGTTATTTTTCGCAATTTAATCTCACTGAAATGTGCCAGTAAAACTTTAAAATACTTTCACTGACAAGTACCGCTTGGCAACATCTAACATCTAGTTATTAAAAGACTCAGGGCAAAACCTTAGTAATGTTGCAAAAAACTGAATGAGTTGGTTTGGTGGGAATGAATTGGTGAAGTTTCTGCCGCAGGTTTTGTTTTATTATGCGAGCAGGACTCATTTATCTTTTAAATTTTTCTTGGGTCATATTTTTTTTTTATTTTTTATTATTACGTACCAGATCCATGGAGCTTCTTATGGTTGATGAACTGAGCAAATGAGGTGAAAAGTTTTTGACACTTTCCACACTGGAAGACATCGCATTCATCCAATGATAAATCTGTACAAACTAGAGAGAAAATAAAAATCAGATGAAGAGAAATGGAGATCACACACCAAGAGATAGCAGACTTTCACATAGTCTTCGGAATATATAACTCTCTATTTGAGTCGTTTGTTCAGCTATATTCATGGTTTTATTTAATAAATGATGCAAAAATTTACATATATTACAGACAAAGGCGTTCAGAACAAATTGTCATTTTTTTGTAAAGCTGTGTCACAAGGTCCATCTTTTCCTCCAACTTTATTGAGATAAAAAGTTTAACTATGCACATGGTCTGGCACAAAGAAGATAGGGATTTTTGATGTGTTATGACATTAATCTTTTCATCCCATTGAACAGCTGATGGAAAAATTGGGACAGACTTTTTACATCTGAGATTAGCACTCGCACGGGCCATGAATTCAGCATGTGTAAAGGAATTTTCTTGTGGAGACATGGCACTGCTGATATGTCATAAATGCAGAGCCTTTTTTTCTGAAGCAGTTGATGCAGCTTCCCTCTCATCTTTCCGGCCGGACTACAGCGAGGAAAGGAAAGCTCACCACAATCATAAACACTTCCACTGAACAATGTGAGTAAAAATGCTGAAAACTTCATTTCCAGCCATGCTTTCCTCAAATTTGGCAGACAGAAATTTTGATTTTAAAACCAAATTGTGCTCAGGAGGTCGTAAAGAACACCGTACAACAAATAATGGCAAAATGTATACATGCAGAATCTTTCTTTTACATACAATATTTGTTCCAATTTTCCTCCTCATTCTATTGCATAAAATATTTGATAGTGTGATTAAGCTGAACACATTCCGTCCATTTGGGTTCTCCCTTTGACAAAGGAAAGACAGAAAATACAGAATCGCAAAAGAAAAAAAAATAGTAAAGAAACGTATCCATTGAGGTTTTTTTTTTTTTAAACCAATACGAGGCATTCCTCACTTTTGGAAGTGCAGGTTTGTTTAGAGTTCCAGACCCAAAATTTAGGAGGCGATAAATGAAAAACAAAAAAATGTAAGTAATAAATAAGAAATACAATTTTGTAAAATCCTACCGATATTATTTGCATGACAGGGGTCAGTAACAGAATCTGAACCACTCCCCAGATGATCAGTAGAGCTCTGAGTGTCAAGAAGTGATTGCATTGACAAGCCTGCCTCGCTTTCAACACCTAAGAACCAGGTTAACAATATTAATAAAAAACCACTACAATGCTGAAATTGATGAAAACAAAACCTGCACTGCTATCCAATCAATTGCATAGAGAGCTTCTAGCTGTAAGGATGTGTTATTAAGGCTATGAATGGCTTCCTTTGGTAGGCAAACCATGCATAGAGTTTTTTTTTTTTGACTTCAAATAGCCTTCAAAGGCTAATCCCATTCAGTCCCTACCTACCTTCCCTACTGACATTGCATCTTTAATTTTAATGCAGATTATTTTCCCCCAATTGTTATAAATGAGAGGAAATTCAATTACTTTGTGATAGGGTTGCCAATACGTAACGGATACTTCCAAAGTATCGATACTCAACGATATTGATACCATGTGGTATCAATCCTCAGACCCCAATATTGATGATATCAATACTTAATCTAATTCGGCAAGGAGGAAGGCCTCTTTTTCATTTTTAACAACTTCTCTCTCTTCTGTTTAACCTTCACTATGCACTGTGACAAACAACGGAGTAATTAAGTTTCTTACGATGATTACTTTTGTTAAACATGATAAAAGCTCTGTTCGATAACAGTGGTTAAGGACTCATAGAGCTCGCGCATCGTATGTTGAGACAAACATCGATCCCTGATTAGCTCTGAATTTGCACCACTCAACAGGTTAATACATGCAGTCAGGTGGCACCACTGGTGAAGGTGACATAAACAATACTTTGACGTTAGTCTCAGCATACGATGCACGAGCTCTAATAGTTGACTAAGCCTGTGAGTAAGGGCGGTTTTGAGAGAAGCATAAATCTGGCGGTACTACACAGCCGAAAGACAGACACACACTCCAAATTATGGCATGCGATGCTCGATACTGGTATCGATGCTTAGAATCGATACCAAGTATTAATACTTCCCAGAGTATTGACATCCCTATTTTAAGGGAAATTTTTTTATCGCGGATCAGGGTGGATCGCAGTGGAACGCACTGGATCGGAATCCTGAGCGATCCGGACCGATCCAAGTGATAAACAAATCCAAACTTGGAATTTGGTTCGATTTGTTATTGTTTTGATTTTTTGGGGACGGCAACTTCCTCGCATTAGGTTAGGATCACAGTGGATCGCGAGCTCGCCCCACCTCGGAAGAGCGATCCAGCATTCCACCCTGATCCACCTGGAACGCTTGGATCACGCTGAGGAACGGAATAAAAAAATACCGATGTTCATCGCGATCCACCGCGTTCCACTGCGATGCGCATAAAAAAAAAAGCCCTCAAAAGGTTGGAATAGTCTACATTAAGTTCATGTTAGGTGGATGTTCCTCTGGCAAGGTGACCAGAGAGAATGATATTTCAAATGGCACAAAGGTAGTAAGCTACAACATAAAACATTTCTTGACCTAGTACATATTGAGGCATACATGAGGGATTGTCAATCGTTTCAGTGAAAAGATACGGATGGTTTCTTTCTGGACCATTTGGCTCCAACGCTACTTGAATTTATCCTCCGTTATGCATTAGACAAGAAAGAGAAAAACTTACCACTAAGGTCACTAAAGAATATTGATGCCATTCTGCGTGGGATTTGGTTTGGAAGCTACACAAATTGGACAATATTATGATGAAATATTCGCACCAACTTTATACTAGGATACATAGTCCCCTAGGGGCTCATCCTTGAAAAGACGAAAATCAGGCCATGTTGGAAAGAAAACTCAGCAATTTGTAACTAAGAGAAAAACGTAAAAATTATTACGAATTCACGATTCACGATTTTATTACACGAAAATCCAAGAATTCCAAGATGCCCGAAAAATGCACTGCAGTTCAAGTTGTGAGGGTCCTACGCGAGATCGCAGCACCACTGTTGTTTTGTTTTGATTTTAGGTTAGTGAACTCTGAGTGAACTTGCGATGCGATGATGGGGAAGACCTATTGAATTTTCCGGTTTACTGGTAACTTTGCTGTAAGAAATTTTTCATAGAATGATTCCAAACCAATTTTACAATCAAGTCTCTAATTTTTTCCGCACGAAAGGAATAATTGTACCTAGTGATAATCAATGGATGCAAGGATGCATCGACTTCTACCTCTCAGAAAACCCAAACGTAAGTTTTTTCTCATAAATTTTGCACTCAATGTAAGTATCTGTCCTTCAGTAAGCTCTATAACATTCGTGGCCAGACCATATTGTGCAAGAGAGTTGCACTGTTCTGGAGCGACAATGAAGTCAATCCTCGAACGATGCATTTCTGGCCTCCTGTTCGCAGGAAAGTGGGAGTCATGCAGCACATTTCAGCACCGCAGCTTATGGAAGAATCACAGGCTGTGAGTGGTCTTCAGGATTTAATAATTTAAATTGATAATTATTTTTGAGAATTTTGCTGTATTACTTCGACCTAAGTGGTAAGAAATTAAAAATGTAAGAGACTCCCGGTTTTTATGAAATAAATTTTATTCCTGTATTTTCTGAGCAAAGGTCAGAGCTGAAATTCCACGCATGCGGGATTTGCCACTCGCAGTTCGCCAGTCTTAGGAGCACCTACTGAAAATAATAGCTACGACAAGTGACTTCAGCAGCGCTCCAGTACATAGCGACTCCATTGTAATCCATGGGCTAGACTTGGGACTCGTGCATTTCGATGACGGTGTTTCACAACGTTTGCTCCTGTTGTATATTCTTGCTGGGAAGTGAGCAAATAATAACAAATTGATACTTTTCATAAAACATTTTCAGAAGCAAAACATGGAAACCGTGAAGTAAATACATTGATTGGCTCTCTAAGAAACTTGAAGCATGACAAGACAGCTGCAATGTCACAAACTGATGTATATGGTTTCTAAGTTAGTGATTGACATGTTTCACTCTTGGAAAGAAATTGCTTATCATATCAGCTCCTTTTTTTTCTTGCGCTCAAAGACCATTTTTTCTCTTTGACTGCCAAATCAATTGGTTGCCATAATTAAGAGCAGTTTTAAATGATCTTGATTTGGTCAGCAGTGTTCCAACCCCACGAGCGCCATGTCGCCAAATGCTCCTAAAAAATCGGCCATGGCCCCTGAAAAATGAAGACCCTGCGCCAAACGTGGCCCCTCAAAAATTGTCGCAATCCTAAATTACGGTTTGATGATTTCAAGATTTTTGTCAGTCAGCCTGGACTGAACGCGCATAGCAAGCAGTTGCGCACGGATCTTCGTCGCGGCAGCGGCTCAGCAGATCGAGAATCGTACTACTTATCGTACACACTATAGAATCGTTCTACTACTTTTCATAATAGGAAGTCAGAAAAAGTATTATTTAATTAAACAAACTTTAAGTGAACTAAAAGCTCCTTGTTTCAAATCGGAATATCATTCCTTTGGCCTTTCCCTTTCCCAAGTAATGGCTGCGAGCTGCAACTTGCAAGTCCTGTAACTGTATATCTTGCGTATAACTTTTCACTAAATGCGCCGTGATACATAGGCAAAAATTCAATTTGGCCCCTAAAAAATCTTCAATGGCCCCTAAAAATTGAACTTGATGGGCCAAACGGCTCCTAAAACTTGGAGGTGAATTTGGAACACTGTTGGTCAGTATACTTCAGCCAAAGTAACAGGGATTACAATATGTTACATAGAATCATGAGAAAATTGTAAATTTACTGTGCCCCAATATTGTTGGAATATTGTTCAAAAAAAAATTGCAATTAAATTGTAATTTTATTTCAATTTTTCATTGGCTTTTAGCTGGTCAAGAATTGTGATGGAATCGCTAAACCTTTTATTGGTTTTTTGTTAAGTTTTTGTAAAACTTATGGTTTTTGGTAAAGCCAGTTTTCTAACATTTATCTTGTTTCTCTAGAGCAATCTAAATGAAGGGCAAGCGTTTGTTTTCGACCAGTGGCTTTTGGCAGACTTGTGTGACGTAGGTGTGCCATGTCTACCTCCCAATTTATCTACCAGGCATTCTTCAGTCCTCCAAGGCTGCCTCACTCTCCAGGTAAACCACTTACTTAAAGATCCATCATCAAGATTGTAGGGAACCATGCCACTGCGATACCCTCTGTTGTCCTGTAGAGGCAATAGAATATAGTAGGGACATGGCCATTCAGTAGTAGTATCTGTGCACTGTTTAACTTTGTTGTGTTTAAATCGTGGATCACTTGTAGCATGCAAGACTGCAAGTGTTGCCTATGAGTGGGAGATTGAAACAACAAAGTCCAACTCGGTGGGAGCATAGCCATGCTTAGAAATGCAACGCTTGATAGCGTTTGCCACAGCTATTAATATGGCCCACCATTGCTCATCAGGTGGTCCCTTAGCCTTGCATTATGATGGGATTGGTGAATGGTACAGGAGGAGAAGCACGTTCTCAAAAGAACGCCTCCAGTTCTCCTGTTGATCTCTCCTGTTCTCCATGAGAGACGCTTGGCCCATAATGGGTGTAAGTGTGCCACCTCTACTAATTCTAATAGCACAAAATGTTTGTGTCACTTTTGTATTCTAGAAACTGATTGGATTCATTGCCACAAATGCATTTAAGTGTTGAATATGCATTTCTTCATTATGTATTTCCAATTTGTTGGTCAATCATCGATATTTGCCAATATACCAGTTCTCATTTTTCAACAGAAAAGTTGAGATTTATTCAAGTAAAGTATTTAGCAGTTTTATTGTCATTTTATCCCGTTAAAATTGTTAAAGAAAGATTAGAAAGTTTTCTCTTGATATTTCCCAAGTATAAATTTCATCTTTTTTTAAACTTTTTTTAGCAATAATGTTGCTAAAAAATTTTGTGGATAAAGTTTCGAATTTATAGAAATAGGGGTATATATATAGTATAGGGGTATATGTATAGTATAGGGGTAAATATAGGGTGCAATAAATTTGTCGTCTTCTGCACAAAAGAACGTATCGCGTCTGCGTGGTCTCGGAATTTTTACAAATATTTCATTTTTTCATGGAAGAACTGGCGCACAAATTAGGCTGAAAATTTCAGAGTCTATTCTCACAAAGTGGGAAAAATCCCTAAAAATTTCAGGAAAATTCATCTGACAGCTTTCTTGCTATAGTATAAAATGTAGGTAAAAATTACTGAAACAGCGCAATCAAGATATATGTTCCTTCGTTAGGAAACACAATAAATTGTTGTCGATAAAATCACAAAATCTGTGGATTGAATTGCAACTTATTACAACTTTGTCCTCTTGTTAGGTCCTGAAGAATGTTAGGGTAAAAATTAAGAATGATTTTGTCCTCTAAAACACCCTTTTATTTAATCTCAACATGTATCTCACACTTATCAATTTGAATCTCTTCATGTTTCCTTTTTATTAATTTTAGCAGTTTTCTGTATTTTGATTGAGATTTCATTACTGTCATGACTTTTTCATTGTTTATCATCAAAAAATTTCAGGTGAATGAAGTTATGAATGTGGGTCAGCCAGCCTATGCGCAGCTTCAAAAAGTGAGGAAGCTAGCTACAGAAAACGCCGAAGTAAATGACAATAAACCAACAACCCAAGCATGGGAGCCAAAAGGTGGCAGAATGCTGCGTTTAATCATGACGGATGGTGTGCAGAAAGTGTTTGGGATGGAGTACAAGCCAATTCCAGCCCTGCAAGAGCCATTCATTCCTGGTTTCAAGGTAAAATAGTACCTTGTATGTCCCAATTTGAGGATTAAATGGTGTCAAGCAGTATATTAAAGTGGAATTTTTTTAATTACTCTAACACTAGTGACTACATCTGCATTTCTTCAAAAACCAGAACTCTAGACCTCAGATTATCCGACTTCAATTATCCAAAATAATTTTTAGGAGGACTGATCATTATTTTAACCCATTTTTTGTGTTTTTTCACTGCGGCAGAGTAATAACTATTGTTATGACTCTCTCCTATTCCGAACTGGTTTGCTTTCCCATTATGTATTTGTATTTTACCACTTGCGCACATATTTAATCGTATATTTTACTTTTAATTATCGAATACAGCATTTTGTTCCGAATTTGTGTTTGCTTTATCCCATTTTATGAATTCATTGTGTCAGATTAAGCTAGTCATTGTGACCTCTGCATTATCAGAACTTTCTGTTATCCGAACTGACCGACTGCCACATTAGTTTGGATAATCTGAGGTTTAGTGTATTTAAATTTTAAAAAATTCCGAATTGATACCAGGATATTGTAGGGAGGAGTGATAATCATCCCAAATATTAATAATCCTCAGGATGTAGAAATGTTTAATCGGTATTTTCCTAGCAGAGTGCTTCTGAGCAGTATTAAGGCACCAATTTTTTTTTTTTTTTGCTCATATTTTTCAGCCCTGAAACCAAAGTAGACCATAAAAATTTGTGTTAAATCGTGGAGAGAAAAAAAAAACATAATAGAAGAAATTAGATTCTGTAAGTATGCCAAAGTGTGCTGATGATACCAAGGATGAGATGGAGATTGGATCAAATCAGTGTTCTTGATTAATCAATTAAGAATCGCCACCTGCTGGCCTAAGTATCACCATGTTTGGCACTACGTTACCAAATTTATCAAACTTGTCTAATTTTTTACGAGAAAACTGATGAAAAGAATTACTCAAAAATTTTCCCTAACACTTCTTTTGTCGTCAAAATTAATTCCTGACATTTTTATGGGAGTATGTGCAAAAGTTTTAAAGGAAAAATTAACAACATTAAAATGTCTGCCAACGTAGTGTCTGAGTATAAAAGACGCTCAGGATACTTTGGCTGGAAGGTGACAAAATATGGGAGGTATTCTCTATCAAATATAAGAAGAATGGGAACGAATTCAACATAAGTGTAAATATTTTTCTCTTCAGATCCTGATAAGAGGACCTATCGAATGCCGAAAAGGAGTATTTCTCCTAGAGGAAAGACATCTAACTGTCTTCGGTGGAGAAGTTGATGATCTAGTCATACAAAATTCTTTGGAGAATCTTCTTCTAAAATCCTTGTGAGTTTTACACCGATCATCTCTTTTTAGAATATTTTATAGTCCTGGTGATACTCATCCTAGAAAAACTTTGAAGGCCTTGCTTCCACACCAAAAAGCTTTTTCTCATAGTATCTTCTTCACTTACCGCACAGTTTTTTGTGTCTCCTGGACATGCTCATTTTTCGGAGTTGACGCGTTTTTGTTCCCACTAATTCAAATCCAGTTTTGTCGTAAATTCTCAAACTTTCAGGGCCGAAATATCCATAGAGCACCCCTCTAAGTGGCAATAACAATAGCTTAGTTTCAGGTGTTGTAGTTCTAAGGCCTCTCTTCCCCTAGAGTGATTTACATATAGTCAAAATGTTAGGGCTAAGTCCATGCTCAACGTTTTCCATAAAAGAGGAATTAAAAAGATAGTGTATTTCCTTTAGGAAGTGCGCACATATAAAGTATTTTAAAGCTATTAAGTACTTATTTTGTTTGTGGTCTTGTTGTGGCTTGTTTATGGACTCTTTCCCCACTCACGATTAGTATTTTAGGTTTAAATTATTACCAAGGTGTCTACCGGTCCTCAAAGTTCCCGACTCTCGAAAGGTGTCCCCTATCTCCCTGAATGTCCCCGATTTTCATGTTCAGGTCCCCAAAAACTGACCAGAATCGTCCACCGTAAATTTCAAATTAACGGGCGGCAGAAATTCGAACCCTCGCTGGCGTCTTTCGGCAGGAACGGTCCGAAACTTCGGGAGCTCGGTGTCAAGTTTATCTATATTTTATTTTATGTTGCTTTCTCTTGTGGCTTTTCTCTCGTCTATTAAGGTAAAAGTGTCCCCAATTTTCATGAAAAAAGTTCCCAAATGTCCCGGATTCTGGTTTTTTCCAGCTGGTAGACACCCTGATCACTTTTTTACTTGTTCTTCTCATGTTTTAGTTTTAATCCAAAATCAACAGAAGTTTTTTTAATTGTTTCAGAAATTTAGAAACAGTCCAAAATCCAGTGAATTTCACTGCTCAGACACAAATGCAAAGGGCTCCTAACAATGACCAAAGCCAACATGTAGCTCCATCACAAATTGTGCCTGCTAGAAATCAAAATGAGCCGTTCAACAACCAACCGCCAAATCTTCCACTCCATCGAAATCCACCTGTAGCTACCTCAACATCAAATCCCCCAGTCAACAGAAATAATCAAATGAGACAGCACAATAATTCACCACAAAATGATCAAATTGTAAGCACAAAGTCTTTTCTCCCTTAAAATTTACGAGTGTACCTTTATATTGGTCGTGAAAATAAGGAATTTCAGTTAAGATTTTGCAGGATACTGAGCAGGGCTCACTGGCTGTGAGAGACCCACTGATGAGATCAGCAAATACCTAAATCGGCACAGATCTCTTGGCATGGCCCCGGCTCAATATTCCAATACCTCTGTCTGAGCTGAGCACTTTTTCCCTCAGTCTTACACTGAAACTCATTAGAGTTAATTTTGTGACTCTAATTTTAATTTTTAGATTTTTTTTGGCTTTGATTTTCCTGCAAATTAGTGTAAATCTAGCACTATTCTACCATTTTTTTACTTGTAATGGATAAATCAAAGCTCGGAGAAAACATGATATACTAACTAAGTCACTGAAGCCTATCGACCTTCATTATCAAAGCCCCCTATAATGGATAATAGTTTCTTGGTAATTTTCAGAATCCTGATTTCTTCGAAGGATTTTTGGATGATGAAGATGATGACCTACTAGCCATGCACCTGGATCAGGTAATATTTTCTGTTTTCATGTCAGCTTTCCTTTTTTTCAAAAAAATTTCCTTACAGTTTGTTACAATAAGGAGTACTTCTACTGTATTAAAAAAAATAATAAAAAAATACTCAGCTTGTTAGAATTTAATCAATCCTTCAGAGCTCAGGAAATCATATTTAAAAAAAAAAAAAACTCTGGATAACAATTAATCAATCAAGTGTGGATTCTAAAAATCTTTAGCGATTCTTAGCCAAGGAGTACTTCTGCATGGTCCTCTCCTTTTTTTCCCTTTTTTTTGAAACCAAAACCTAATGTAAAAAAAAATCTATTGTCATTAAAAATATGTTTCAAATCTTAAACGTTCCCTACTTAGTTATTTTGCACAGTCTATTCTCCAAACAGAGGCCTCAGAATATTTTATTTTCAAATTATCAGAGTAACTTCAAATCTGTTCAATCATCTTCTCTGTAGGGTATTGTGCAGCCGAAGTTCTAGGTATGTGATAAATTCAGATTTGAATTTTTGATTTTCCTGTATTTTATTTTCTTAAGTTAAAGCTTTTTGACAAAGGACATCATCTTTAGGACAGATAGGGAGAACAATATTGCTAACAATTATTTCGTTGAATGACAAATGAATTTAGGCATCGCTACCATCTTTTCTGCTGTATTTAAGGTAAAAAACATTCAGCTCATCTTCTATCTGATTGCAGGTAGCTGCTGAAGAAAATAATGCGATGAACACCTCGCAACACTTAAACTCAGACGAAGACGAAGAGCTATTGCTTGTCTCCGAGAATCTTCTCAACCGAAACGCAGCAAGCCCAGTGCGTGAGAATACCTCTCGCGATGATCATTCTCATAATTACTCATACCTTCACCTTGCAGGACCATCCTCTAGTCGTTATAATTTAACCAACCAAGAAGACAACTTTTCAAGATCTAGTCAAGACAGTGGGATTTTGTCAAGAACCTCTCAAACACTGAAGTCGACTATTCCTGTCGCTAAAATCAAGCCTAACCCAATTCCAGAAATGTCCACGAATGCATGTCCAGGGCCTTCAGCTCAAGGCAGTAGGGAAGTGCCGAGGGTTATTGGTACATCTTGTACTCCTCGACTACCGGATCTCCCATTTCTCAAACGTACTGCCTTGTCACCTCTAAAAGACAGTCAAGAAAACCACCCGATAGATAAAAGGATGAGGAGTTCATCCATAGATTCAGGTATAAACAATGCAAACACCCATCTTAACCTAGCAACATCGTTTTTTGAGCTGTTTCAAGACTTATCTGTCCCAAAGTTTGTTGAAGCAAAAGTGGCATCTTTGGTGTCTAAACTCAGGATCAAGGATCGTAAGTGGATGCTGACAGTGAATATCAGTGATGGGCAAGAGACAATAGAAGCTGACTTCTCTCCAGAGGTAGGAAATATTTCATTTGTTGTTATCCTCAATCACGGGTTATAGACAGGGAAAAATTAAATTAATTGTCATTATTATGAGATCAGTCAAAGTTGTTGCCATGTTGTTGATGACATATTTCATTCTTTATTTTCAGGCTGCCAAGGAAGACACATAGTTGTATGAATTGCTGAATTTTTGCTCATCACCCCTAAAGTGTGCGACGATATGTGTTAATGTATCAGTGACTGCACACAGGAATAGGGGTTGTAATGCATAAAGGCTCAAAATTAAATTTTTGATTCTAGAGCATGTCAGGGTATTCTGCAACAATTTTCGGACACAATCGCCCAAAAATGTCAAACCAAACCGATGTTATAGCGGTTTGAAGTTTGCAGTTCAATGAAGGCCATTTCGAGAAGAAGCCATTTAAGTAAAAACCTGCCGTCTGCTGTGTCCAGGGAATGGAATAATTGGATTATAATGCAATTTCATGCCCGCTTTTGGCACAAGCTTGAAGTGGAGCCCCTGCAACTTTTTTCTCAGAACACAGAGAGAGTTTCCCATCCAAACCTAAAAATCCAGTTTTTTTACTCAACCTAATGAAAATCGCTCTACCTAAAATTTTGCTGACATTTTTAAATTTTTTTCTTCACTCTTTTCCCTTGGGAGGTCACATTATTTCACTAAAAAGTTTCCAGGAAGCTGCCCTTTCTTTCTGTTGGGGAGCTGCAACCCATATGCCTCTCTCTCAAGCCCATTCTCAGTCTTGAGAGAAAATCTTTCTCCATGAAGAAAGGAGTCAGAGCGGTAGAAGCTGAATTGCATTGTTGTGTTGCCACTTGACTATTTACTTACTCAGGAAAAGTTGACAATTTTCTTTTGAATATTTTCTTGAATTTTTTTAGTTATTTGATACTGGAAAAAATTCTCAAGTTTGAAAAGTTTCACAGCTCCCTTAAGTCATAGAAGCCATGTTTTTTGTCTCACGGTAACTGAATTGAGATTGTGTTAGAACTTGCGTCACATAAATTGGCAGTTGTTTACTTTCCATTTGCAAGTGACTGTGCTACCATCGTCCAATAGCAATCAAGGACTAACCAAGTGCGATGCCTACGCCATGCTGCTGTTGTGTGCAGATACTGGAAACTAATATCTTTCCCTGAATAATATTTCTAAATTTGTCCGCTGCGAGTGACAGTTAGGAGTAAATGCCCAGTAACTAATTTGACACGAATTCTACATTACTTCCAAATGAGTTTAGGAAAATATAATTTTTTTGACTAGTGATTAGACATATTCTTTTTTGGACTAAAATCACCCAAATAAACTGATGTCTTCAAAAACTTTTCGCTTTCAAGTTCACTCAGACTTTAATGTTAACTTAACCTCTCATCTTTCAGAAGGAAAAGCAAGGGGAAACAATGTCTCTGACTTTTTGACCCTTCAAACTTTATTTCTCCGGTTTTGTCTTAACAATTGACTCTCGTATCTTTAATTTCCTCAATTTTTTCTGTTCATTAGGTTCTGGAAAAATTGGTCGGTGAATCAGCTGACGATATTACAGACAAGAGGGATGAGATCGAAAGAAATCCTACTCTTAAGATGCAAATTCGTGATGTAAGTCGATCTTGATTTTAATATTTTTGTTAGCTCCTAATTTTCTCATTTTTAAAAAAAAAATGAAATTAAAATGTATGTCTGAATTTTTATTTGTCATTTTATTTTAAAGTAATGGGTGTTCTTTGCTCTTTTTTCAGGTGATAGCAGCAGGCAAGGCAAAGATTGGATCTTTAGAAGCCAAAATGAAAGTTGAGGTACCAAATTTGAACGCCATTCCAGTAATCACAGAAGTAATTGAAGAATAGAAAAGTGTGAGCCTCGTTTTATTTTTAACTTCAATTCATTCCCCTACTTCATCTGTACATTTTTTTCCAAAGTCTGTTAGAGCACTACAAAATGAAGCTTCTGTATGGACGGTTCTACATCTATGTAAAACCAAGTTATCTAGCACAACTTCTCAATAAGTACATTAAAGTTTATCCCAAAACTGCTCTCTTAAGGTGTGCCATCATCAAAATTGTTTGATATATAACTAGGAACACATTCATTATTTTTATTCCTATCGACTGTTTAGATAAGTATTCAAATTTTACATCATTTAGGCAGTTTTTATAATTAGTTTTTCATAATTTTTTTTTAAGACGGGAGAATAACCCATCCTCTTTGAGCTCCAGAAAAGATTAGCTAAGGATGTTTTGCTTGTTTAGAAGTTTCTTTACTAATCAATCAGAATGATTTTAGATATTTTTGGTGTAAATCAATCACTGAAGACTTTTTTTTGGTGAAAGATGAGGAATTGAAGTGATCAAAAGAATCTGAGTTTTAAAGCACATTTTAGAATGAGAATGGGCCTGTCACAAACTTTTGCTAGAGCAAAAATAAGAGTTGCTACTCTTAGAAAGTGTCTCAAAAATCACGATGAGCGCATCAGCAAACTCTGAAATGCACTCCTTACCTCACAATTTGCGCAAGAAATTTGCGTTTTTTCGAGCTTCCTGCTTCCAAAACAATACCACGGCACAGGTGAACATTTCGTTAGAGGAGTCATTCCATCCAACCCCTGCTCTTAAGGATACAACGCAATACCCAACATAGCCGACGCCAATCCGCCAAAACATATGTAACAGGATGATAATTCTAACCACCTGATAACAATCTGCGTGTTTACATTCACATTTTTCTCGCGTTGTTAGATATCCGCCTTGATAGACCTTGTGCTCTCCTCAACTTGCGCGTGGAAGCATCGGCTATGTTGAGCAGGGATTGAATGGAACGACTCCTCTATCGAAATGTTCACCTGTGCTGTAGTATCCTTTTTGAAGCTGCCCAACCAGCAACAACTGACGTTTTCCAGGAGAAAATTTTCGGATAAACTGGGGCATAACTGATGGGATAGCATGAGAGTATCACTGGGGAAACTGATGTATTCCACTTTGTTATAGGACGGATTTTGGGGGGAAAACACATGCATTGACTTGGTTTAACCCCCGTTTTTCTCCTGTATAACAGACGGAAAACAGGAGTTAAACTTGTTTTTAACTGGGGGGTGATGTTTAACCCTAGTTTTTCTGCTGCATATCAGAAGGCAAACGAAAGTTAAACCTGTGTTATTCTGAGGTTTTCCCCCGGGATTTTTTTTTTTTTTTTCTGGGAAAATTTTGGGTTGTTGAAAGCAAAAATCCAGCTTGATTCATTCCAACGTTTCCACATTGCACTTTGATTTTAGCCCTTTTTTCGCAGCATTGACATGCACTTTGATTCATTTTTTAGTTGTTTTAACAATTTTTGAGATTTACAATTTAAAAAAAAAATCTCAAAAATTGTAAAAACGATAGAAAAATTAATCAAAGTGCAGTGCATGTCAGTGCTCCTAAAAAGGGTTAAAATCAAAATAGGATGTGGAAACGTTGGAATGAATTAATCTGGATTTTTGCTTTCGAGACCCCAAAATTTTCCCAGCAAAAAAAAACAGACAAAAAAGTGCAAGGGTTGAATTGATGCGAGTATGATAAAATATTTGAAAAATGGTACTTTGAAATGTTACACAAAGAAATTCATATTTGAAATGTGAACAGAAACCCTTTTATTTTAACAAAAAAAATAAAAACAGAAATATATACAATAATGGAAAATGACAAGAATTAAGAATTAAGGTTGCAGGTTTGACCAAAAATTAATAACAAGAAAATGGTTAATGACCATCTTCATGGGTTTCTTCATCTTTAGTTTCTTCATCTTCCACTGGCAGTTGTGGTGCTTTTGCTTTTCCTGCTGCTTTGTCACTAGTGGCACTGCAAGTATAAAAAATACCGTTTGCTTAGGAAAAAGTATCATGGGGCAAGTACATTTTGGGGAAAAAAATAGTACTTTTTCATTTCTTTCACATGACTGAATTCTTGGACAGAACTTTGAGACGCATATTTATGCTAATCAAGTTCACTACCGCAGCGCTACAAATTAACAGTTAAACAAAGCAAAGAAAAAGGGATACTACACGAACAAGGTTGAGCAACATAAATTGCAGAAATCTCAGGATGCGATCGTGAATGCATAATCAAGGTTTTCTTAATTTCTCCATGTTAACATTTTTAGACTTTGTAACAAAACTTCCGCAGCAATTTTATATTTAAAAACACACTGACTTTTGCAGCAATTTTGGCTACAATGCCACGTGTACGATTCAAACGACAGAAATAAGCACTCCTGTGTTAATTGCACCACCTGAAGTTGCCAAGACAACACAGTATCGTGCTTGCAAAATTCCTTAACTTTTCATGGGTGCTCCAAGTTCCGCAACATGCCTAATTCTCCAGACTGCCAGAAACCCTGCTGATGATGTATTAGTATGTGGAATGTATATTCTCTAAAAGAGCACAAATTCCTTTTTCATCTTGACTAACAGAAGCTATAGCAGCTCCCACTCTAGTATCAGCCCTTGTTCATTCTTCAACATTAGTTACAGCAGGGGTCTATTTGATGATTCGGTTTAAATCAGTCATAATAACCTCAGGAATTAACGACATTATTTTAACAGTAGCCATGGTCACATTAACAATGGCCAGAATAAATTCACTGCTAGAAATAGATAAACTAGCAGAACTACTAGCTACGAACTTTTACCTGACTTTCCAAAGAAAATGATATGATGAATTAAGCTCAACGTACCTTTGTGTCAATTTCGAATGAGAGAAAAGATCTGACACACTGCTATTAACACGGGTGAAGTTTGCACTTTCCCCATGAATTTTCTCGACCATCTCTGTAATAATTAAGAAGAGGGACATCTATTAGTTTCTGCTGATTAGAATGAAGAAAAGGAACATTGTATAGAAAAATTCTGCTGGCCTTGCAGTAACTCATAATATAACAGCTAATTTTATCCGCAACACAGCAGAATATTTCCAAATGAGTTTCTTTCAGAGGACTGTGTACAGGACTTAAGGGATATAGCAAGGGATTCGAATTTCTTTATCATTGGAAATTATGTCTTTTACAAGCTCCATAGATGGATAAGCTTATCTAACTGAACTTACGGCAGCAAATTTCAATTGAGCGCGGGGCTGAATAATTCAATTTTCACCATGTTCACACTGGTTTTTATAGGGAGACATGACACTGCCACTGCGTCAGATATATGCTGAGTCTTTTGAGATACATGCCGCGAGGCATGCCCTGTCTTACCTTTCCAGCAGTGTGTGGCATGTTATCATAGGAACAAAATACCACAAGAAAAGAAAAAAAAAGGGGGGGGGGAGAAGAGAGAAAATGCTTGCCATTGAAAGGTTCAACAAAATTTGACATTTTGTAAAATATCATCACCTGTTAACAGGTGTTGATATCCTACCCTATGCTTTGCTGAAACTAATTTACTCGATTCAGATAAAAGACAGAAAACTTACTCTCCATTAATTTGAAAGTACAGGAATTGGCTTCGGCAGCAAAAGCAATTTTGCAGTCAAGGTCCTTCCGCTGCTGGCCTTTCCAAGAAAATTTGCAGAGGAACTCTTTTGAGATCAGAGCCCTTACCAGACTGCGGGCAGTCTTGCAGTCCGTGGTTGTCTCCACAAATGGTTCCAACTGATCTGTGAGAAGATGTTTGTAGCATAGCGTGAATAAAAGTGAATGGATGGATTGCACAGATTACAAATACAATAGGTGAGCAGTAGTAAATGTAGCGTCGACTCACAGTAGGGAAATGAAGAATAAAAGTAAAAGAAAAAGAAAATGAAATTGTTTAAAAGTGAGAGAAGATATTGTAAAAATAAAATGAGGATGAAACTACAGCAAGAATGTGAGAACATGTGATAGAAGTGACTACATTGCAGTTACGAGGGACAATGATCCAGGGGGAGTGAGGCTGTGTCGCCAAATGTATGTATTTGAAGAATAATTGTAGGGCAAAGTGAATTTGGCAACCATGGAACAGAGAAAAATCGGACATGAAGTGAGTTTGGGGACTTAGTTTCTGGGCGTAAGTATGGGGTGATATCAGGGTCAAAAGTATACAATATATATAAACAAAAAGATTTAATATATTTGTTAATTTTATATAGGTCGACGAGAATTCTTTATGAATTTTCCTTTTTCCTCCATATAAAACGAATTTTTATTTATCAATCCTCCGTTTTATAAAAATACACCGTGAAAAATACACGGCAGCGAATATAACTTATATATATGACATTTTTTTATTTATACTTTTTTTTTATTTATAATTTTTTTTAAAAATACTATTAATTTCAGTGACCTATCTTTTTTACGCATTTTTGCGGACACGTCAGTGATTCTTCAAAATTTAGCTGAGTCAAATAAAAAGGCTTCTGCAAGGGCTTTTCATACAAAAATGTCGCAATTGTTGCATCACTCATTGAAGGAGGAGACTACTCTCAAGAAAAATACTGGACTTTCGCCAGCCGATTGAGTATTTTTTTTTTCATGCTCTTTTAAAAGCATTTGTAAGACCTGAATCGAAAAATATTGGACTTTGTGCGATAAAATATTTCATATTATTTTGGAGCACAGAAGGCTCAGATCAATCCATACCGATTTTTTTTTGTACTTTAGATAAAAATGCAAATAGGTGAGGAAGGGGGCTCCTGCAAGGGCTGCACATACTTACACGTCATGACTGTTGCATCACTCATAAATGAAGGGGCCTACATTCGATCTACAGTTCGACTTTGTGCGATAAAATATTTCATATTGTTTTAGAGCACATATAAGGCTCAGATCAGTCCATACTTTTCTTTTTGATTTTACGAAGATTCTGAATAAAAAATGCAAAAGTTAAAGAAAGAAAAAGGACGTTATGTGCTCCTTCAAGGACTTTCCATTCACGAATGTAGCGTTTGTTGCAAAGAGCGAACCGTTTGGGCTCCTACAAAACTACAAGAGGTTCACATACACACATGCAGTGAATGTTGTATCACTCGTTTATGAAGGGGCCCACATTCGATTTTCAGTAAAGTATAATTTTTAATTTTCTTTTACGAGTAATAAGAAAATTTGGTTCAACAAGTTTAAGACTTTGGCCGGATTCTTTACCCCTTAGAATCTGAAAGTTTTTTGGGGTTTGCATTACACATCCAACATGGCCCTGAGATTCAGCTTTCTACGTTCATACCAAAAGAACAAAAAAAAGTATCATTCATTCCCACGTGACACCCCTTAAGGGAATCAAATTTTGAAAGTGTGAACTAACCCTAGCGACGTAGGATGTGTATGAACCACAAAAAAATTTCAACATAAACATGCCCAAATGGTCAAAGAATCATTTACTTTTTGGTATCTTTCTCTCTTTCCGCTATGGAATGTGTAGATTTTTATTTAAAAATCGATTGAATATAGATGGTTACACTTCAGGGAGTGATAATTTCGAAGTTGAAAAAATGCAGCTCGGCAGCGTTCCCCGTGTTCTGGGCACGGTGCCGGGGTAGTTTCTCTCTGCTGAGAATTTGAAGTTACCGCTAATAATTTGAATTTCCCGCTTTTTTTACTAGCCATCTCACAAAAGTAGTGGCTCGAAAACTTGGGAAGGCGCGGCAACGTGGCGGTAAGCGGTGGATGTTGAGTTTGATGCGGGCGAATATTTTATATATAAAATATTTTTTTTTTTATTAATTGTAAAAAAATAAAACAAATAGTATTTTTAAAAAAAATTATAAATAAAAAAAAAGTATAAATAAAAAAATGTCATATATATAAGTTATATTCGCTGCCGTGTATTTTTCACGGTGTATTTTTATAAAACGGAGGATTGATAAATAAAAATTCGTTTTATATGGAGGAAAAAGGAAAACTCATAAAGAATTCTCGTCGACCTATATAAAATTAACAAATATATTAAATCTTTTTGTTTATATATATTGTATACTTTTGACCCTGATATCACCCCATACGTAAGGGATAAGTTATTTTGTTTTTTTGTTGTTTTTTTTTACACTCAACTCACTCTTTTCGTTTTATTTTTCTTTTTTTGTTTTGTATTTTATTTTTTTTTATTTTTTATTTTTTTTTTATTTTTTATTTTTTTTTATTTTTGTTTATTTTTTATTTTTTTTTTATTTTTTATTTTTTTTTATTTTTGTTTATTTTTTATTTTTTTTTTATTTTTTTATGGGGTGACACCGTGGACAAAAACATCCGTGATATAAAAGAAGGAAATTTGTGAACGAAAATATTTTTTTTTCAAAACGAGAGAATAATTCTTATAATTGATCATGACAGCGTGGACAAAAATCGTAAAAACAATAATATATATATTTACACAGATGTATATCATATATTTTTCACGCTTCCGGAAATGTATATATTTTTTTCCCCCTGTTCGAAATTCCCGCGGTAGCAACGAACTCATCGATCAACACATCGTTGCCAAACTGAAATAAAGCAACCAAAAAAGGAAAGGATGGAAAACAAAGCTAATCAGCCAATAAAGGTTGGCTTGTAACATTATTATAATTTATTTTATCTTATCATTTCCGAGTCCCAACATTGTCTTCCTTCGGAACCTAACGTTTACATATAAAAAAGAATCTAAACCCATTTCCATGTCTCTGGGCTGTGACTTGATAAGTTAATTGCCCTTTTAAATTGAAGAACGTTATTGAGCAGTGTCAATTTTGTGTATCTCACACAGAGATGAATAGCCCAGAAACGGTGAAAGTAAATCTATCATCTTGATTAGGAAATTAATTCCTATCCACTAGCCGGCCTAGAAATGCCGATTCCTGTGTCCTGTCAAACCGGAACTTATAGAACCGGAATCTTAAACTGTCTATTTAACTCCAAATCAGATTCTTCAGAGAACCTCTTCGCTACTGACCACGGAGTGAACAAAGGGATGGTCCTTGAGAGAACAGATTCATTCCTCCCTTAGGAAAGAATAGATGCATCAGCACATCAGCAAAATTGGTCTCTTAACTACCAAGAAGATAGTTGCTTTCATTGTGAATGTTTTTATTTGTTCACTGAAAACCTGAAATTCTCTCCTTTAAGATCCTATTCATTGCCCCATTACTGTGTCGCACTTACGCATTCTGAGCAGTCTTATTATTGATCAAGAAGAACGGGACACGTCATTATGAAAAAAAAACATATTTTTATAAAGTGAACTACTTGATGTAAGTTTCATGTCCAATATATAAAACCATCGGGTTTGACAGTTTATTCCTTCTCATTTCTACCAACCTATAACTAAGAACGGATCAATAGATCTACGTTTGAACGTGGGATGAAGTCAGCGGAATTGTTTCTTTATGGCAGTCTTATCAAAAGGAAGAAGAAAATCTAAGTCTAGCTCATTGCCCCTTTGACACTGGAATTTAACCCAAGTGTTTTAGTTATTTCGGTAATAGAGAACATGTGTGCCAGAAAATCTGAAGATTCAATAACATGAATCTCCAGTGAACTTCAGTTGCTTTAACGCTGAAATTGTGGCAATAAAATACTTCCTTTTAAACTATTATGGATGTTTTATGGATCTCTCCTAGTTCTTGGTTGTAATTTTAAGACAGTTGGCTCTCATCAGCCAGTAACAACGTAACTTTGAAAAGGCCAGTTGATAATCTGAAAATTCATCAGTTCATCGGAGGAGCCGATAGATTCCCTTCAAGAGATGGTTCATAGAGTGTAAGGATGCATACGAAATGTAACAATATTTTTTTATTTTCCGTCGGTACTTCTGGATGTAAGTAGGTAAATAGGTGAAAAGGTATTTTCAAGTGACATCTTTGCTGACAAACTTGTTCTTCAAGATTTTCAAACGCAAAATACAATTAAACCACTTCATGTGGTATTCTCGTTACCTTTGCCTAGTATTTGTAAAAGGTAATCCTTAAATCAAAACTTGTTTTCGAAATAATATCCAACTAGAAATTCCATAATTCGGCTAGAGCCTGTTTCAGATAACTTGTCCTTCTTCACTATGTGCGTGAAATAGCCGTCTCATTATTACCCACAACAGCAAAAAGAGACAAGTCATGTAAAATGTTTTCTATACCTGAATTTTCTGATAAGAAACCACGAATTCTTCCTTATCTTAGAAATAACATAATTTGTCCATAGTTTCCCAATGTAGATGGGTGCCTTTATAGATAATCGAGATTGTGGCTTCTTATTGCATAATGAAGTCTAATTGGACTTCCAATTGCGGTGTTAAGTGGAAAAAGAGCATTTCTTGGTTATCGTATTATGAAGACTCCACTCCTAATTTATGTTTCAGAAATGGCACTTATTGGGTGAGTTCTCTAGGACTTTCACGTTTTAGCATTGTTAAATCATAGAGAAAATTCAGTTAAAGTTACAACGAATGCCATCCATTTGCTTGAATTACAATGTCTACTTTCCTTGCATACGACCGTACGATAACTTTGATTAAGGGGGATTCAAAGGGAAACATTGCCAACGCTGAGCTGAACATTTTAGGCAACCAATAAAAGTATCATATTAAAACAAACTCATTTTTTTTTTCATTTTTTTTTAATGAAAAAAGACAATGATAAACAACTAAGACTAAGACAAATAGCATCATAAAAGCCAAACATTGAAGTTCGACCACAAATTTAACCATTTTAAAGAAGTAAAGCAACAAAACGTCATTTTCAGCCTAGCAGCTACCTACAAAAAATACCCACAAAAAAAAAAAAAAAAAAAAAAAAGAAGGCTGGACAATTCAGTTGTTCGGAGTGTTTCAAAATTTTGAAGGATACTGTCCCCATACGAGCGTGAAAAATTACTTCTTTACTTCGTGGAGTAACAATTATAAAATGTGAGTTAATAAAGAGCTGATCATATATTTCCCCCAAGAACAAAAAGAGGGCATTACTTTTCAGAACACCAAGTCAAGATAATCTCAAATTTCTTCATGAAAGTGCCGGTTCATGAAGATTTCAAATGACTGCTAAAGTTCCAGACATTTCACAGAATCAAGGAGTCTTTTCCCCTGGAAACTTAATCAAAGAATTACTAAAATATTTGTGAGCATAAAATTAATGAGGTACCGTATGATATTACATTCATCAAAAAGGAAAAGCTGTCCATAATATTGGCACGTGACATATCAATCAATTAACACCAGTTAAAGGAAAGATGAAGTATGTATGTAATAAATCATTAATATTTTGAGCCTAAGTGTCTTGCCTTAAAAACACATCATTCAAAACCTGGTGGTGAATACAGCCGTTTTTTGAGAGAAGAAAAACACTGTCAAACGACAAAAAAAAATTAAATAAATAAATCAATACTACACATTAATGATGACAACTTGACAACAACCTGTCATCGAAGTTAAAATTTAACCATTGAACTCAATCATGTCACTTACTGACGAAAGTAACCGAATGGTATGGTTCTCCCCTCAAAATTGCAAAAGTAGTATAATGTTAAAGAAAAGCATGAACTACCCTTTGAGGAAGTCCATAAATCTCAATTTGTTAGGATCAAATCTGATAAATTCATTGTGAAAGAGGGCAAAATATAATTTTGATTGCATGAAGAAATGAAAAGTCAATAATAAAACGATGTCAGTTTGCAAAAATACAGGTTTTACTTTTAAATCTTCCGGCGTCATCAGGCGTCCTGCATGACTTCATAGGGAGAAAAGTCTTTTCCCTTAATCTGAAAAATACACGCCTGAATCTTTTTGTGATGAAATCAGGACACCCTGTGGATCCCGATTCGGTCGGCCACTTAAACTTAGGGATCCTTTAAGATCATCTCTATTTGAATTCCAAGTAAACAGTAAGGTTCCCATACAGACCTAAAATCACAGGAATATTTGAAATAGACACCTGACATAAATAAACTCCTCCTGTAACCATTATAAATAAACGAAGAAACAAATAAATTTCATCTAAATATCTACCTGAGTATTTTTACTAACATACCTATGGGGTGTTACTTGCGACAAAAATATCTCTCCTGTAAAAAGGAAAAATTTATGGAAAAATTAAAAATATATTTAATTACCTATTGGAAAAATAGATTTCAATCTTGAATCATTTGTATAAATATTTCATTGGCTTCAGAGACTTGTAGCTTATCTTTTCCATCGAAAACTATTCACGAGCGAAATTTAGTCTTTGAAGTTATGATCAAATTAAGGAAATAATGTTAAGCCAGGCGTATTCTTCCACCATATACAGCGTGAGAGATAATTCTGTTCCCAAATTTACCCCATGAATACAAGAAAAAAAGGCAAGAATGTTCAAAAATAAAAATTACTAACAACTGATAATTCTAATCGTAGGAATTACAAAATTAAGTTTAAATTTTTGCAGGAAGACCTTTGATCATCCCTCCTCAAAATCGTTATCCAGGGTTCAATAGCAATAATGCAGAAATAATTACCTCTTCAATGAATGTTCATACACAACATTTAGCCTTTTTGCTGATCGATTTTGAGGAGGCATGATCAAGAGTTTCTTTTAAGGTGATCTGTCAAGGTTTCTGACCTACTTGAACGGGTATGTCGTATATCGCATCTATTATGTAAAAAAGTTTGGCAAATTTTTAAATTTTGCCCAAAAAAACCAATTTAAGTTCCTGCGCATGAGCTCAAGGAATTCATCCTACACAACAAAAAATTGGCAAAAAATCAGAGGAATGAAAGCGGAATCCTGTCCAGAAAGAACCTTGCATTGGATGCAGAAACCGATAACTGCATCAGATGCAAAATTTTTTTCGAAACAGGACTCTGCTTTCATTTTTTTGACTTTCGCCATTTTGTAGATGTAGAATGATTTATTAGGCTCATTTGCCAGGGCTATCATCTTTTTTTTGGCTAAAAATTCAAAATCTACTGAAATTTGTAACACAATATGTTGCACGCCATGAACCTTGAAGAATCACTTAAAGTTTTCTACGTTTGGTGGGACAAATGCATCGGTGGGCAAAATTTCTTATACTTAAGAAATAAAAAACAACAACAAGCTTACCAGCTCAGGTGGGTGTGGACGATTAAAAAATTAGGATTAAACAATAGTGTATTTTCTTTCAAAAATGCACTGAGAAGAGGAAAAGAAAGAGAAATCGGAATCTATTAACTAACACAGATATGCCTGCTCACAATCTAGACAGAAAAATATATAACTCAATTGTTTAGCTAGAAAATTATATGGCTCACAATCTGTCAAAAAACTTTACGTTTTTAAAGGTCCAAGCACACCGAGTCTTAAAAGTATCATATTCTGCTGTGAAGGCAGTCGGCAACAACAGAATATTCCCACATTCATTTGCGGATGGGAACTCCACCTGCGTGTGTTCATGATTGAAGCAGATTTTTGGCCGGGGCTGCAGACCCGATGGTGGTGGTTTTGCCAAGCCCGTAACAAAAATAAAGATATCTTTGAAAGACACATCAACATTTCCTGGAAAAAAAACCAGAAAAACGTACTTAATACGAGGATTCTGGAACTTAGGGGCCCAAATAACCCAGCATTACACAAAATTAAGATGCAATTTTACAGCAATGGTGTTAGGATTACCAGTTTTCTATTTTTAAATTAAAATAAAAAAGGGAACAAATAGGAACAATGAGTAATCAACAGATTAGTGGTACTTATGAAAACACTTTGTTAAAAAAGGTAATTGGAGTAATTTCTCTTCTTTTCTATTCTTCCTCTCTTGGAAATCTACTTTCCTCAACAGCTTCACATAGTCTAGCGAAAAGGAAAAAAATCGTTCAAAGTGTAATTAATCTTGGGTAAGAGGCTACACTTGCTCGATCCAGAATTGCAAGAGGAAGAAAAATTCATAAATACATGTTTTCATTACTTTTATAAATGCTTGCTTAGAAATACCCAATACCGCCATGTTGTGTTTTCAACAACCTTCATACCTAATTAATACATACATTTTTGAGGCGATCCGGGGTGGCAAAAAAGTGACAGGCTTGTGTACCTCAAGGCATAGCTTGCCTTCCCCTCAGCAACTCGCTTAGACGAGCTCAGACCTTACCTTCCTCACTCAGTGCCTCATGCAATAATTCAACAACCCCTAATGGAGATTTTTTTAAAAATCACAATACCTATCAATAATTTTCCATCAAACTTGCATTGGCAGCACATCTTTCAACATCTCTTGTGCCACAAGACTCCATGTAAGTTTTCAACTTTATACTTGTTTTTTTCTCTGAGGTATTGAATACCTCCTTCCTCCACTGGAAGCTTAAAAAATGTTGACCATTTTCACCAGGCGACTAAAATAGAAGCAGGACATTGAAAATAGGTGCAACATTACGTTATAGGTTGATTCTGAATTTCTCATGGGCATATGTAACATTTTGAGATTTTTTTCATGAGTCTCTTTACAAAGACACTTCGATACGTTCGATACGCATGAAGATGGTGACTGCCTGTATCTTTAGAATCTCTGCATCACATCTTCATTATTATCGAAGCCTCTCATCTCTGTTACATTTTTCCTCTTACTCCTTCTTTTGGTCAATCAGTAGACACATTTATCAATGTGAGGAGATTCTCACCCTTTAAGGTTTCAAAGTTAAACATACTGGAGGAAAAGAAGTAAAGAGAATGCCCATGTTACCTCCTTCAATTTCCGTCAGGAACCTTTCCCATAAGGCGATGATCCTCACTTCCTTTCGGAAGCGAAGACTGCCCAATGGGGCATACTCGATGTCAAATTGAACATTGAAACTGTCCAGTGAAAAATCCTCCAGGGAAATTGTGAACAGACTTGCGAATAATTCTGGGTTTCCCTTGATCATGTCTAAAAACCCAAGAGTTGAGAGGCCTTTGCATAACTGCTCCATGCCCTGTGCCGGTAGTTGTTTGGCATAGAAATTGAGTGCATCTGAAACGAAGAAACATTAACAAATTGATACGTATTGGTAAGAAAGAATACAATACCAATTACGTCAACATTTCCATTAGTCACCGAGGTAATTGGTGTTCCTCAAAAAAAGAATGACTGATTGAACGGATCAATTAATTAATTAATGAATAAATGAAGCAATCCGAAACTTTGTTGGTCATTCGAAAATAATTAGGTGAAAATTTAATCTGATAAAGTCATAGCTTTTATAGCTTGAATGAGAGCAGAAGAACACTGGACAGGCATGAAAATAGAGAAATGAACTACTTCAGTAATTTGTAATTATTACATTTTAAAAGTGGAGAGTGCACTTAATTCAAACAAGTCTTCTTACATTTCATGGAACAATATCGACCGCCAAAAAAATAACTTCAAAGTTCCATACTTAGAATTCCCATTTAAACACACATCGTTGATAAAGCTTGTGATAGTGTGACAAAGAACAACCAAGACATAAGGATGATACATGTATTTCATTGACTGGCGTTGTTGAGAATAAACCTACAGAGAAGTAGGAAATACTATCGAATTGAAAAAAACATTCAAATGTGGGCAAGAAATTTAGTAAAAAAATTTCAAAATGTAACAAAGAATGCAAGAATGCCTCTTTTAAAAATGAAACTACAGAATAATTATTGTGAAAATTAATAAGAAAGTTAAATAGACGACTTGTTTCATCACAAGGTGTAGTGCGTCAGGAGGACAGTGAGTTGTAGAAAATTCCTCTGTATTGACAATAAAATGTTTTTTTTCACGTAACTGAAAAACTTTAATTCAGATAACAGCAACTAGTATAGATGTAATTACCTCCGATAACTTCCTCCTTGTCTGCTGCTGATAAAATAACAGTTTTACTGGTTACTGCTCTTAGAGATTCAGCTCCTTGCAAGATATCAGAGCAAATAGCAACATCTTCTTCCTTCTGTAAAGCCATCAGCTGGCTTTTAACTGTCGCATTCCACACGTCACTGATTGATGGAACAGCTTTTGAGGCATCGCCGAGGATACTTTCAAACAGAAAATTGGAGAAGAAGTGAGGTGATGTACCATACATAAATGACAAGGCAATAACAGCCCCTGCGAAAAAATACCAATTTTCCCTCAGAGAGGTGCCACTTGGAACTAGCTGTTTCTTTTTCTCTGGACCAGCAAAGATATTTAAATTCTGTATTGATGACGTAGCAAGGCGGAAGCACTCCCTGGTTAGCCCACCTTCATCTGCACCTGGCTCATTGGAAAAAATAACTCGGACCTTCCTTCTGAAGTTAAATGTTGGAGTTAAAACTTCCTTCAAGTCTCGTAGAATGGTTTCTCTTCCTACAGTGATAACAATTTCATTACTCCCATCTATCGATGCCAGCATTTGGGTTACAGCTTCTTGTATTTCCTGAATTACAGGCGCAGCAACGACGGGTACATGCTCTTCCACTGGGTTAATATTAACATTAACTTCAGCAGGCACAGCCATGGGTTGAAGTTCATAGACTGGAGGCATCTCCTCATTTTCGTCCTCAGTGTCATTCCCGCTTTGACTATCGGTATCACTGTTGTAGCCTCCTGCATCTTCAATCATGCCGTAGTTACGGAATTCAGGCAAAGCCCTTTCGGGCCAAACATACACAGTTTTAAGGCGAAAAAGGTCGGCTAAGAGCTGTCCATTTAATTCCTCCCCCCTTGAGAGGACAATTTTCCGCACTTTCTTGAATTCTGGTCTGCCAATTGTAAAATCAATTCCTGTCAATTTTTCAGGGAAAGTTTCTCTTATAGCAGATTTCAACTCATTTTCAGTCATCGCGTTATTGAATGAGACCCCATGGCTCCGCAAATTGTTTTGGTCGTAAAAATCCACCGTTCTGGAATTCATGACTTCTGTCACCAAGTCAGCTGGTCCCGGTAGGACAATTACAGGTCGTGTGAAACCTCGAACAGATCTGGAACGAGACCGAGAGCTGCTGCCCCTCCTACGCTCACTGACGGCATCTGTAGTGCAAAAAAAATTTCAAGTTAAGCTCGTTACAACTCCAAACCGGCAACGACTGTAGAAAAAAACAACATGCTTCTAAAAGATCCAATATCGATTCCTTGGACAGTATCTTTAACCGAGGCAGAACTGTAAATTTTGCAAGCCATCATTAAAGGCAAAAAAAACTTAGTGGTATCATTATTCACCGTAGTCTAGACTGAAGATTCAAGTGTCTCAGTGAAAAAAATCTTCTTCTCAACAGGCTCTTTCCAAAACACATTGAGACCTGCGTCCGAAGCTCAGTTTGAAGTGCCCGTCCGTATTACCAGTGTGAAGCTATTGACCTTAAAATAGGACACTTTTCAAGACTTTTTGCTTAGTGTGATTTGAAAAACATAAGACAAAATCAAATAGTTTATCCCTAACTTGTTCATGGCAACATCGCCAAAAGACGATGGACCAGCTACGTTGTTGACATTGGCAATACCTTGTCCTGTGAAAATTTAAACAAAAGAATGAAGTAAAGCTTTACAGAGAAGCATACAGAAAACATAACTTTGAAGGCACTTGCTGTTTCAAGTGATATTTCCCATGTTGTGGAAATACTTTGCTTTTCAAGGCTTCAACTTTGAGCCACTTCCCCTCTTTGCATAACAATTTCACACATCAATTTTTTGGTCAGTTTCAAAAGATTATCTTTAAGAATGCCCTCAAGAGTACAGACGTGAAGAAAAAAAATCAAAGCTTGTATTCAATGCAAGGAGTATACGACGTTTTGTTTGAAGATGTTGTTTGTTTCAGGAAATTTAATGGTTTGCGCATGCCATGCAGACTTTAAAATCTAAACTACACTTCCAATTTTTTTCCAGCGAAGAATTTTCACATGTCTCAAATGTTTCTGAGTATTTTTTCATATACAAATAATTAAACATCAATACAAAAAATCTGATATACAAATATTCTTGGTTTTTACGAAGGATCATGCCAGCCCAAAATGAATAAGCAAAATTGAAAAATATTGACTGTGATGGTCTGTTGGCAGAATGATAAAACGTAAAGATGGATCAATACACATCTTTTATTTTCTCTGGGTGTATGGTCTCCTATGGATTTTAAAACCAAGATCATCTCTCTACAATTTGCTGTTAAGAGGATCCATTGTTTTAAGTTTCGAGCTTGATCTACTGCCCTCCTTCGCAAATTATTCAATTTCAAAAATGTTGGGCTTATAGGACTCGGGAAAAGATTTTCTACAAATCCTTCAGATATTCTGAAAATACGGTTAAGGATGGAAATAACCAACTTATGTTAAGGCTTTCTTCATTAGAAAGTAGTTGCGTGAAAATACCAACTTCACATATTATAAATGAGGATTTTTTGACTGTCTGTTACACTTCGTGCTGCACTTCTCTCCAATGAAGAACGGACAGCTTTTGGGAAATTAGTTGGAAACCTAGTGGGGATAACACTATCAGCCGGCTTTACGGCCTGCTCCAGAGAAAATTTGCCGTTTTCCCTGGAAAGTGACTTTGGCTGCCCCTCAACTCCCCCCCCCCTCATCACAAANAGATATCTCTGGACACTGCAATTTCGTAATAAGTAGATTTAACATCCCAAAAATTCAATGGGGGAGAAAACATTCCAGTTGGCTGCTATATATCAATTTCATTCATTTTTTGGTGGGAATGCTTCCTAAATTGTGTTTGAAAAACCATGGTGAAGCAGCAACCACAACTTCATACATGTGACAGCTTCCATAATCTTTCTCCATTCCCGCTCACATCTCTCTCATACAAAATGCAGTTTCGTTCCAATTCTTTGTCATTTCCACTTGTATAAAATGTATAACTGACAAGAGATTAACCTAGTGATGACTTCTTGCCTGATGCAAATTGTAGCGGGGTGGGTGATACTAGGGTGTCAATGAGTGAGATATCACAGTGCTATTGATGCAAAATACATGTTTATTAATAACGCATGTGAGAGGGCAAGGCCCAGAAGGTGAGAGGGCAAAGCCCAGCAAATGAGAGGGCAAAGCCCAGCAAATGAGAGGGCAAAGCCCAGAGTACTAACCTATGGCCTGGTTACACGATCAAATTCCCGTTAAATTCTGATAAAAATGATGACCAAGATGGCAGTAGAGAGTTATCTAGATTGATGAGGAAAATTAATTAAAACAGCACGTTTATTGAAATAAGCATGAAATAAGCACGGTTGTGTGGAAATCAGATGAAGGATGAGCCCCACACCTCCATCATCTTCCATCAAATTTTTGCAGGCCGCAGAAATTTGATGGTAGATGGTGCGCACCAGTCACCATTTGATCGGAATTTGACGGGAAATTGATCGTGTAACCAGGCCACTAGAGTTTTAAGCCCGAGCGGAGCTTCCCAAGTTGCTGCTTCGACCGACTGTAGATGGAGTGAGAGTGTTTTCGTGCGGGCTCCGCCGCCCAAATTATAGGGGATTGGCGATCTCCCTCCATGAGCCGCCTCGGGGTAGGGATCAGGGATCGTAGTGGGAGAGGCCGATCGCAGCACCAATATCGGCAATCGCGGGAGACACTCCACCGGACAAATTACGAATTTAAGCAATCTGATACGTGTTTCTTAACCAGAATTTCACGTAGAACACGATTCGCGCAAAGAAAATTACTGAAACCAACTCCTTACGAGGATATTAACGTTTCTATTTCACATTGGTTACAAGGAATTTGAACTGCCCGCTCTCAAGAAACTCAAAGCTTTGCGTGAGTCGAATCGCGCACTACAACGGTTTCAGCAAGCTTCTCATTTGAGCAATGTTCATTTCCCACCATGTGCTGTTCAAACTATAAGCAATTTGCTTTAACTGAGCCAAAGCGTCAAGATTGAGGTTGCCAAATTTTTATAACGCCAAAGGCTGTCATGATAACGTTTAGCGCACAATGTGAATCACGTAGAGCATTGAGTTTTCATAAGCGGGTGGTTTGAATTCAAGAGGCTATAGGTAAACAATAGCTACAGGTGGAAAGAGAAAAAATTTGGGAGGTCAGAGAATGAAAAAACAAATTGAGGTCAAATGGTTCTTCTAAAGCCTTCTTTCCAAAGCGGAAAAATATATGGCAGTCAAGCCAGGGGTGGAGATCATTCTCAACCACGACAATGCAGTTGAAGCGCAATTTTGGAAGATGAGAATTTTTTTTTTTTTTTTTTTTTTTAAATTAAATCAAACTTTTTTCTTATGTTCTAAGGTTTTGAGACATTCAACCCTTGGAGAATATTAAAGAGTTTGGCACACATTAGAAAAGGATTAAAAAATCAACACAATTTTGATCGTCGCACTGTGTTGACCTTTTCGCTAAAAACCAGGGGGTCGCAGAAAATTACGGATGCCTACAATTTAGAACCCTGAATATAACATTCTCCATGTGGGGAAAAAGTCTCTTGGAAAAAATTCTAAAAATGAGCTTTGATATACAAATTGAATGGGTTAATTTTTTTAAACATTAACCATAAAGATAGCAATTTCATCTTGAGATCAAACGAAAATTTTTTCAAACACATTCTACTGGAAGAGATTTGTTCCTTCATTCTAATTTCTGTGCCTTGGTTAAAATTACTAACAGTCAACATAAGCAGAAAATTGACTTGAGAGTTGAATTAAATTTTATCAGTTTCCTTCTGATAGGTTATCAATTTGAGATTCCTCGGAGTGAACAAATTCAAACAATGCTACTAGCTAGGAAAAGAAATAAAATTTTGTCAAGAGAGAAAAGAAAAACCTTAAAAAAAGAGCCGAGTACAGACTCGCGCAGTAAGGATACTCACCACAAGTATCGAGAAGCCTTAACCTTAAACTTTCTCCTCAAAATTCTTCTGCGAGACCGTAGGAAAATGCCAATGGGGTCTAACACCTTCATCCGTGTTATGACACGTCTGAATGGAACAAAAATATTTCTGGCTTTGAGGGATGCCCAAACATAGGTGTAACCAGAGGAGGGATGTTCATCAATAATGTCTCTTAGGACGACATCCAAGTCATGGTCTTGTATGTTGGTCTTTCTTTCAACAAGTTGTAAGTTAGAGGCCTTCATTCGCCGTTTGAGAGTTTTTGCAGAAACATTAAAAAAATCTGCTATTTTGGTCCACGCCAGACCTGTATTCTTCAACATCTTGACTTCTTCCTCAGGGATAATGTATGATGGACGACCAGGACCATTATTTGCAGTTTTTGGCAGCCTAACACCTGCCTCTGTAGGGTGTTTCAGAACTTCTTCTATTATTTCTAGGATATCAGTCACTTGATTCAAGAAAAAGTTACTAATTTCTGCTACATCACCATCACTTTCATTAGCATAGATGTTTCCCAAAGCTCGAAAAATAGATTCCAGTTTTGGATACAAAGCACTTAGTTGTAATTCATCCTCCTCAATTATGCAAAATTCAGCACGATGCAAACATTCCTCCGCAGCAGAAAACAATTCTTCCATTTTGAGAGACAGAAAAGGCGAAAAAGCCCTGAAACATAAATATATATTTAGAAATGAAACTCGAGAGATAATTTTGTTTTTTGTATCTCAACTGGAAACACAGATACTTAAGGTACAAAAACCTGGTTCTAGAAGTTCTGACGATTTTCGAACACTGAATTAAAAAGAGATAGGTATTTATTGTGACACGGCCCGGACAATTTTTAAAAGGTTCATGTTTAGAAAACACCAAGGGAGTATTGAAGGATTACGTAAGACATTATGGGGAACTTTTCCGGTCCACTACACTTTTGTTAGAGGCACGGATAAGATAAGGTCTCACCCTCTTTTGAAAGAGAAAAAATTTATCTTAAGGTGATTTATCCAGGTGTCTGGCCTGACAGAACTGGCGTGCGATATATCGCAACAATTAAGTTAAAAATCTCTGCAGATTCTAACTTTTTATCCAAATAGAGGGATGAGCAGTGCGAATGAGCCTAAGTGAGATTAACACCAGCATTGGTAGTTTTTTGTTTTAGCATTCTAAGCATTAGGTATTACATGCTGACGTCAGAATCAGTGTGACGCCGCAATCACACGCTGAATGTGGGAGCTGAATGTGGCTTGAATGTGGGAGTCATCGGCCCGATGGCTTAATTTTGCGCGTGATGCGCAAAATTCAGCAACGATTCTCAGCAACCATCGGACCAATTTTGAATTTGTTTGAACTATTCGAGTACATTTGATACACATCTAGATGAAAATAACTCGAATCTGCTAAATTTCAGCCGTTGGGCGATTACTGTTGACTTCCACATTCAGCTGCTAAATTCAGCGTGTGATTGCGGCATCAGATTTCAAAAGCCTCTTGAAAGCCAAAAGATGCTCAGCATTTTGAGATGAAATACTTAAGAATTCAGTTGGAGATAATTAGAATTATTTATTTAGAACATTCAGTTGCAAATGAGAAACAAAACATTATTCAATTGCTACAATTCCTCACATAAATTAGCCACCTCTGAAGTGACCAACGAAGTTGGATATGACAGAGAAGTGAGGTTAAGTTAATATTCGAGTTCAGAGAAAGGGAATAAGTGGTTGAATTAAAACAACTCGACGTTATGATAGGGAGGAACAGAAACTTACCTACAGCACAAAAGTCGACTGGTCTTTATTTCCTTGGAGAATGGAGATCACCCGATCATCTCACCTCACACCTAACCATAAATAAATAACCGGACACCGGAGTCCGGACAACAGAGGATTCATGCGGTGATAATAAAAACAATAATATCGACGCGCTATTGGCACCGTTGCGTTGAACGATGGAATCGTGGCGTTGAGGAGGTACTCGGCGGGAAATACGAAAGTGGAAATATTATATATTTTTCTTTAAGTTTGTAGTAACTATTTCAAACTTTTAAAAATATTTTTTCCCCCCCATGAATTTCCTTCTTTTATATCACGGATGTTTTTGTCCACGGTGTCACCCCATATATCATTTACAGACTAAATCAGTTTCACAAAAAGTTTAATTTCATAATAGGTAGATAGATAGTTCAAAATATACCTACAAAAATAAAATACACGCAGTACAAATTGCCACAGTTCACGGTGGGACAGAAACTGTCGAATTTTGGTTAAAGCTTCTATTCAACAAATATCCCAGGAAAATTTTACTCTGCATCAGAGTATTTTGATTCTCTAAAATTTTAACACAAATAGATATACGAACGAAGTATTCAATAATCACTGGTCTATCATTTTCAAGGGACTTCCGTATCTTCCCGCTTTCGCAATGACTTTATCCAGAACCGACACTCACTAAATAACAGAACAATTTTGCGAAACGCCCTTCAAGTTTTCAGAATTCACACATTTTGTTAGCCAGATTCATCGCAGCACTCTTATAACCTCCAAAAAGTGGTCGATACAGGTAACTAGGAAATCTTGGAAAATATACGTGGAAATTTAAAACAGATAGATTTAAAGACAAGACGGTAGCTGTAGAAACGATTCGAACACTAATTTGGGCAAATTACGCGTAAATTCACGTGGATTGATACAGATAAATAAAGCCAAGCGCACATACTCCGAACAACAACGTGATGAACTTGTAACTGAGTGACAAAGGAAAAATGGCGGACCGCAGCTCAGCCAGGCGGGAACTCTCACCGCGCTGACTGTACCTGATGGTTGGGTCGCCTTTGTGATGGCCAGTTCAGCTTTGTCAAGATGGTTAATCCGTCCATCTCAGCCACAGTGACATCCGCCGTAAGATTCTTGCTGGCTTGGCCTACTTGTGCGGGTATGATAACATACCTTGCTGGTTGCACCACTAAAAGATGCAACAGTCGGATTTAATTAAGGCGTATAGGTAAATTGGATTCATGCTTGGTCACATCGGTCAACGTGGCTGGTGAATCCAACTATTTTTGTTGGTTCTCACG